CCCCAAAACCCCAAAACCCCAAAACCCCGCCTAGCCAATATAAATTGAAATTCATCAATCTCAAGGATTAATTTATAGAGCGAGGTGTTGATGTGTTTTCCTAAACTTATTTATAGTGCTCTTGGTCCTCTTGATTGAGCCTTTTCTACTTCTACTCTTTCTGCATCCTCTAGAAGAAATTTCAGTATGAGTGAGTTTTGAGTAGAGGTCTATATTTGGTCAAATATATTATTTTACCTTTATTCCCAGCAAGATCGATGTAGGTAATCTCACTTTTTACAATTGAATTTAGTCTGTTGACTAGCAGAGTAGTTTCAGTCTTGGTGATTGTAGGATCTATTCCTTGAAGCATTTTATGTAATCCTCTAGGGGATACTATTGAATCTAGATCGACTCCGAGGCTTTTCAAGTCACTTAAGATTTGAAAAGACGGGATTATTGATACTTCATACAGCCATTTTTCAATAAGCTTATCGATCTTCAAATGATGCATCAGGAAATCTCTAATTTCAAATAAAGTTTCTAATGAAATGAAATGCTCAATATGAGTCAGTTCTTTAACGTTCTGGACCCTATCCTCACTTGCTGGCTTGAAGAACTTTGGATTAAACTCCTTTGGGATGAATATATCCAAAAATTCGTGTAAAGTAAGCATCCCATTATTATTCGAATTATACCGTTTGAAAAACTTTTTAAATCTTGAATTGCTCATGGCGACGCCTAGACTCTTCAAGCTTTGTTTAAATTTTTTAGTATCTAGGTATTGCCTTGATTGGTATTTGGGTCTGTCCTGCCTGTTCATGTCAAACTGTTGTAGAGCAGGCCTTTCATACTTGTCAAAGAAAGAGAATAAGAGTAAAGGATCAAAATCATCCTTTTTGTTAAGTTGAACTCTGAATTTCTCTAATTTCTTCTCATGTTTTCAAATTTTTACAATTTTCGATAAGAATTTTGATCTTCTTTTTGAACAATTCCGAGGCTAAATATGGAATTAATCGTGAAACTTACACTCTCCTTCTCATAATTGTACTTCACGCAATCTAATTTGTTTGAAATTGATAAATTAGCATGACTCTTGCTTAAGCTGATTCTCTTTGAACTCTTACCTCCAAGATCACAGGACTGAGACTAATTATTAAAAAAAACTTATACCTTAGTCCTTACATTTGGAGGACTCCTAAGGTTGGGTATGTCTTCACTCTTCTTAAAAATATCACTCTTTTTCCAAATTTCTGAGCTTATTTGAGAAAATCTTTGTCCTAAATGATCACCAGGATGGCTCACTTCTTTTATAAATATTCTCAGATAGATTCTCTCTAAGGGGATCTTCTAACAAATAGCTAGAATCTGTTTCTATCCTGGGCTTTTTAGAACATGGTTTCATGAACTTGACGAAATCTTGAAACTCTATTTTCCCATCGCCTGTGCTATCTATTCTCCTCAGAATAGCTCCGACTAACTCGGCTGAGGAGTCACCATCTTCTAGGTTAAGGAACTTGTTGAGCCCATTGAGTTCTATATAAATGTTAGTACTTGTGAATGAGTCTGCTTTACCAGTTATTTCCAAGTATGCAGCCTTGTATTCATAATTCTCGACGATGTTCAGGGCTGACCTGAAGTCTTCAAGCTCTTGGTGGATTAGAGCCTCGCTTCGGATAAGGTGCCTCGCATCGTTTATTATCTGTGACTTTACGTAGCTCGAGTATCGCAGAGGGCGGTTCTTGTTCTTCTTAAATCTGATTTATAATATTATTATCAGTGCATGGAAGAAGGATAAACATCATTTCATCGTAGTTAAGGCACCCGTCCTTGTTTAGGTCGAAATATCTAACCATCATATCTAGGCTGGAAAGGGTGAGATCGTCGTCGGATTCTTCATCTTGGTGTTGAGTAGGACGTGTCTTTATAAAAGAGTCTTCACTTGTCATATGAATGCACAGGAACCTCTGTATATCATATTTGGTAATATATCCTTTTTGCTCTTTATCAATTATTTTCATGACAAACAGAGGGTTGAAGTTTGGTAATGAGCAGAGTCCTCAGCGGAGCTCTTCTTGTTTCATCTCCAGTTCACCTGTAAGAGTAAGAAATTTACGAATCTCGGAATTTTTATTTAAAGAAATCATATTTAAATTTCAACTGAAAAATATTCTTAAGGGGTTTTGGGGTTTTGGGGTTTTGGGGTTTTGGGG